TTACAAATAAAAACTTATTTAGTCTTAAGAATAACCCCATAAGATGTGTAATTATTATTCCCATTTTAAAAGTGATGAAATCAAGGCACAGTGAGAAAGTAATTGCCCAAGACAACTACAAAGCGATGAAGCTGGCATTTGAACCAGGAACCTTGCTGTAGATGCCACTTTCATTGGATACTTTAGAGCGGAGTTGGAAAAATTAAGTACATTAGTTATCAAAGCAGCTATTACTTGACGGAGCTGGAATCTCAATCCAAGCTGTCCCCTAGACAAACATTGTAGCTTTCCTTTTCTTCATCTTTGCTTGTATGTTACTTCTTTAGTGTTCTTTCTACTCCTGCTGCTGTTGAGAACTTAGGAGTAAACTTCTTTCAAATGCCACTCCCAGGCCAGGTGCAGTGGCTCACAGCTGTAATCCCAGCACTTTAGGAGGCAGAGGCGGACTGATCACCTGAAGTCAGGACTTCAAGACCAGCCTGGCCAACATGGTGAAACCCCGTCTCTACTAAAAGTACAAAAATTACCCGAGCATGGTGGCGGGTGCCTGTAATCACAGCTACTTGGGAGGCTGAAGCAGGAGAATCACTTGAATGCAGGAGGTAGAGCCTGCAGTGAGATGAGATTGTGCTGCTGTACTCCAACCTGGGGTGACAGAGTGAGACTCAGTCTCAAACAAACAAAAACAAATGCCACTCCCTTCAAGATGCCTTTTCAAAAAATGGAGATGGGGTCTTGCTATGGTGCCAGGCTGGTCTTGAACTCCTGGCCTCAAGCAGTTCTCTCACCTCAGCCTCCCAATGTGCTGGGATTACATTATAGGTGTGAGCTACTGCTACTAGTACCTAGCTGAAGATGCCTTTTCTTTTCTTTCTTTCTTTTTTTTTTTTTTTTTTTTTTTTTGACAGAGTCTTGCTCTCTTGCCCAGGCTGGAGTGCAGTGGCGCAATCTTGGCTCACTGCAGCCTCTGCCTCCCAGTTCAAGCGATTCTCCTGCCTCAGTCTCCCGAGTAGCTGGGAATACAGGCAGGCGCCACCATGCCTGGCTAATCTTTTTGTATTTTTAGTAAAGACTGGGTTTCACAATGTTGACCAGGCTGGTCTCAAACTCCTGACCTCAGGTGATCCCCCCACCTCAGCCTCCCAAAGTGCTGGGATCACAGGCATGTGTCACTGTGCTGGGCCGACCTTTCTTGATTAACACAACTGGAAGCCTCTTCTTTGCTTGTGTTCCTATTGGAATGAACTTTTCACTTTTGGGATGCTTGCTAATTACTCCCTTACATGATAAGCTTATGGACAGTATCATGACTCTTATCACATTATGAGTCTCTTTTTTTTTTTTTTTTTTTTGAGACAGAGTCTTGCTTTGTCACCAAGCTGGAGTGTAGGTAGCAGTGCAATCTTGGCTCTCTCTAACCTCTCCCTCCTGGGTTCAAATGATTCCCCTGCCTCAGCCTCCCAAGTAGCTGGGATTACAGGCGCTCACTACCACGCCTGGCTAATTTTTTGTATTTTAGTAGAGATGGGGGTTTTACCATGTTTGCCAGGCCGGTCTTTATCTCCTGACCTCTTGATCCACCTGCCTCAGCCTCCCAGAGTGCTGGGATTACAGGCATGAACCACTGCACCTAGCCTTTTTTTTTTTTTGAGATGGAGTCTTGCTCTGTCACCCAGGCTGGAGTACAGTGGTGCCATCTTGGCTCACTGCAGCCTCTGCCTCCTGGTTTCAAGTGATTTTCCTGCTTCCCTCCCCAGTAGCTAGGACTACAGACACCTGCCACCATACCCAGCTAATTTTTTGTATTTTTAGTAGAGATGGGATTTCACCATGTTAGCCAGGATGGTCTCGATCTCCTGACCTCTTGATCTGCCTGCCTTGGCCTCCCAAAGTGCTGGGATTATAGGCGTAAGCCACCACACCTGGCCTATGAGCCTCTTAAGGGCAGAACTGTCATTGACACCACTTTCTGCTGTGGTCATGGGCATCCTGCCATTCATACAAATCTTGCAAATGCTTGGGAGTTAGTTTCCTGATGGTGCTTTAACCATCAGTTTGTTAAATCAATGGTTGTTCTGAATGTAGAGCAGTATGAAAGCCCCAAGAGAATTCCAATATAATTTTAAATATTAACTATGTTAAAATAAGTATTCAAACAACAGCAGTCATAGTGGTGCCTTTACTCTCACAATCCTGATAAAAACTATGTAATAAGATTATGCTGAATTAGCTGCTTATCAAGGTTTTTTTGAAGAACTGTCTTGAAGAGTTTGCTTCTATGTATCTATCTTTTTTGTTTTTTAGCTGAAAAAGATAACAATTTCTTCTTTGTAGAGTTAGAGCTCTCTGTTGGTATGTATGTGAGTTGAATCTGTTTGAGAATTGTGAAGACTGCATTGCTGTAGATCACACTGGAGTAACCCTCCTGAGCATGCAGCCTTTTTCAGGGATGTGTGTTAGTCAGCTTGTGCTCCATAACAAACCACCTGATACTAGTGGCTCAAAAAAAAAACAAAAAACAAAAAAAAACACAAACATTTCTTTCTGTACCTCACAGTTCTGTAGGGCACTGGCATCGTTCTGGCTTGAGTGAGCCTGGCTGGTTTTTGCAGTTAGCTGGCAGCTGGCTGGGCTGTGTGGTTTAGGATGGTCTGACCCACCCATCAGGTGCTCCATGGGCTGACCTGTGGCAGGGACTCAGCAGTGATGGCGCGTCCCCACTCCATGTGGTCTTCTGCAATCGGCCAGGCAGGGCAGGGCATTTTGAAGTTGCAAGAGAGGGAGAGCCCCCACGTGCCGGGGCTCAGCGTTATGTTTGCTGTTATCCTGCTGGCCAAGCCCAGAGTGCAGGAAGGGACTCCTTAGGGTAAGGACGGAATAGGGGACTTTACAGCAGTGATCTGCCCAGACACGCGATTTGCCTGTGTTCTTCAGTCAGTGTCCGTAAATCCTGTGCTAACCTCTGTCTGGGGACGTGAGGCCATATCATGGAGAAAATTAAACAGGCTGGCACAGCTACAGAGTTTTCCAAAGGAATTTACAGACCCTAGTTTTCCTGAAATACTTAACAACCATTTGAAGTTCCTTTCAACATTTTATTTTTTGAAGAAGCTTCATGCTGTAAAAACAGGGAGCCTTTAATCCACACTCAGTAAATATCCCAAATTGATCTTCAGCAAGTACACACTGGTGCTAGACCTGCTGTGGGCATAATGGCTCCAGTCATTTATTGAGACTCTTGTGTGCCTGTGCCATATACATCTCACTTCCTTCCAATACCGACCCTTGATGTCAGCATCATTATCCCCATTTTACAGACTAGGAAGCCGAGTCAGAGGTCAGCTGACTTGTTTGAGGTCAGACAGCTAGTAGGTGGTGGGCTGCATTTTGAACCCAGGTCTTTCTGAGTCCACAGCTACAATCCAAAGAATTCCTAACGTGGGGCAGGCACAGCGGCTCTTGCCTGTTATCCCAGCGCTTTAGGAGGCCAAGGCAGGTGGACTGCTTAAGAGACCAGCCTGGTCAACATGGCGAAACCCTGTCTCGACTAAAAATACAAAAATCAGCGAGGCGTGGTGGTAGGCGCCTGTAATCCCAGCTATTCAAGAGGTGGAGGTTGCGGTGAGCCAAGATCACACCACTGTGACAGAGTGAGACTTTGTCTCTAAATAAATAAATAAATAAAATACAGAGAATTCTTAATGAGTTGATAGGGTTTTTTTCTTCCATGTTCATTGTTTGATGGCTTTTTTTCTTTGAGATAAAGTCTTACTCTGTCACCCAGGCTGGAGTGCTGGCATGATCTCAGCTCACTGCGACCTCTGCCTCCCAGGTTCAATTGATTCTCATGCCTCAGCCTCCCAAGTAGCTGGGACTACAGGTGCGTGCCACCATGCCTGACTAGTTTTTTTTGTAGAGACAGAGTTTCACCATGTTAGCCAGGCTGATCTTGAATTCCTGACCTCAAGTGATCCTCCTGCCTCCACCTTAAGTAGCTGGAGCAAATAGCTAGGTTCCATTTGATGATAAATAGCTCAGAATAGAAACTTCACAGCTATTTCCAGATGTCACTTTAAAATATTTTAGAATACCGGATTTCTCCATGAACTATCCAAACTAAAATTCACAGTCTTGAGTTATTCCAGGACATAGATTTAAAATTTAATCAGAAAATAACCTTCATTTAGGAAATGAGGGACCAGGCATGGTGGCTCCACACTTGTAATCCCAGCACTTTGGGAGGCTGAGGCGGGTAGATTGCTTGAGCCCAGGAGCTTGAGACTGGCCAGGGTGACATAGCAAAACACCATCTCTACAAAAAATATAAAAATTAACCAGTTGTGGTGGTGCATGCCCCAGCTACTTGGGAGGCTAAGGTGGGAGGATCCCTTGAGCCTGGGAGATGGAGATTGCAGTGAGCTGAGATTGTGCCACCGCACTCCAGCCTGGGTGACACAGCGAGATATCATCTCAAAAAAAAAAAAGAAAAGGAAATACACTGTATCCCACTGTGTGGCACCCCTTCCTCCTCTCCCCACTGCAGCCATAGCACATTGCACATAAACTGCGTCTTCATACTTATGCAGGTATTGCATCTGCCTGGATGAGTCTGTTCCTGTCGCTAAATGTGAACTCCTTGGACACAGACAGCTTGTCTTTCATCTCTGTATCTGTCCCCAGCACCTGGCATAGTAATTGGAACATGCCAATTTGTATCATATGATTTTATTTATTTATTCAGAACTGAAAAAGAACTTTATTTATTGAGGGCAAGGAGATGCAAACAATATAAAAATCAAAAGCCTGTCTGGCATTTAACTTTTCTTTCTCTGCTCGTCAAATGGGAGTTAGATTTTATGTGTACACTTGCTAAGTGTCCTGATCTGCTCATGGGGGAAGCTGTGGGGCGGATTCCTGAAGCGACCCTTTAGGACAGCTCTTATGAGGGCCTGGGGAATTGCTCGTTTCTGCCTACTTCTTTCCCTTCTGCTTTATGTGTACTACGAAATAGTCCTGTGTGCAATGGTGAAGCCCGCAATTAGGGAAAAGAAGCTCTGGAAGCCCACTTTGCCATCTCTGCACTGCTCCGGGTCCTTCATAATGTTGTTCACGGCCAGAGGGTCTTTTTGATTTTCCAAAAATCCAGGGAACTCCTTTTCCATGAGTAATCTCAGGTCCTCCTTTGTTAAGTAGCCTTTATTCCCAGCAAATTTGTGAAATGTAAACATCACAATTTCCATGGCATGTTCCATTCGAGATGGCATTTTGGTGTGGTCTGTTGAAGCCTTGGCAGAGGTGTGGTGGACGCTGGGCTAGCTAGACGCGGGGCAGCCAAGCGAGCGCGGCGGACTGTGCGCCCTCCTTAGTACGTGCGGCGGGTGCGCTATTTATTTATCTATTTATTTACTGAGATGGAGTCTTCCTCTGTTGCCCAGACTGGAGTACAATGGTATCGTCTCGGCTCACTGCAACCTCCACCTCCCGGGTGTAAGCAGTTCTCCTGCCTCAACCTCCTGAGCAGCTGGGCTTACAAACACATGCCACCATGCCGGCTAATTTTTTGTCTTTTTAGTAGAGATGGTTTTCACCATGTTGGACAGGCTGGTCGCAAGCTCCTGACTTCGAGATCCACCCCCTTCGGCCTCCCAAAGAGCTGGAGCTGGCGTGAGCCTCCATGCCCAGCCTATTATATGATTTTATAACTAAAATTTCAAGTCTAGCAATGAAATTCTTCTTCTTTCTTTTTGGTTTATTTTTCTTCCTTTTAGTCCTTTCTTCCCCCCACCCCCCCACCACCACCGTTTTTTTTTTTTGGTTTTTTTTTTTTTTGAGACGGAGTTTCCCTCTTGTTACCCAGGCTGGAGTGATCTCGGCTCACCGCAACCTCCGCCTCCTGGGTTCAGGCAATTCTCCTGCCTCAGCCTCCTGAGTAGCTGGGATTACAGGCACGTGCCACCATGCCCAGCTAATTTTTGTATTTTTAGTAGAGATGGGGTTTCACCATGTTGGCCAGGATAGTCTCGATCTGTTGACCTCGTGATCCACCCGCCTCGGCCTCCCAAAGTGCTGGGATTACAGGCGTGAGCTACCGCGCCCGGTCCCCCTTTTCTTTATCTGTCTCAGTTCCTTCCTCTTCTGTAGCTCTCCATTTCTCCCAGCATCTGCTGCTTGTCTATTCTCCTGGCTCTTAACCTTTTTGAGACACAGACTCCTTTAATAAAGTGATGAAGAAAGTTATCTCCCCAGAAGAATACACACAGAAAACACAGTCTATTTTGCTATTATTTCAGAGGTTAAGAATGTCAAGAAACCAGGCACAGTGGTTCATGCCTGTGATCTCAGCACTTTGCGAGGCTGAGGCAGAAGAATCACTTGAGCCCAGGAGTTCAAGACTGGCCTGGGTAACATGGTGAGACCCTGTCTCTACAAAAAATTTTAAAAATTAGCCAGGTGTGCTGGCACATGCCTGTAGTCCCAGCTACTCAGGAGGCTGAGGTGGGAGGGTTGCTTGAGCTAAGGAGGTCGAGGCTGCAGTCAGCCGTGATTGTGCAACTGCACTCCAGCCTGGGGTGACAGAGTGAGACCTAAAACAAAAAAAGAATGCCAAGTGTCTAAACTTTTAGCTCCTTGAGGATAAAAACTAGGCTTTTTTCATCCTCTATGCCCAGTGTCTTAGTTGATGTTTATTGAGTGTATATGAGTGTGCACATGCTCACAAACATATTAATATATGTTGTAGAAAAGCTGTTGTCAGGAAGGTATTTGTACACTCAGGCTTTCCACTGTGATAGTCACCAGGCACATGTGGGTCCTGAGCACTTGAAATGTGGATTGTCCAGATAGGAATGTACTAATTGTCAAATAGGCACAGGCTTGGGGCAGTACAAACAAAAGAATGTAAGATATCCCACTAATAGTTTTTATGATTATTACACATTAAAATGATCATATCTTGGATCTACTGCATTAAATATATTATTAAAATTAATTTTACCTCTTTATTCCTTTCTATAAACAGCTACTAGAAAATTTTAAATTATACACATAGCTGCTCATAGAAGGTTGGTATCGGGGTTAATTTATTAGTGTAGATTCATAAAAACAGTCATTTTCTTTAGTTTCAGGGATTTGTTGAACTAAAGATCCCATAGAGTTACCACCTTCCCTGTCCCTCCTCCCCTACCACCAAAAATTCATGAGAACAAATGGGAAGAATTGACTCTGCTTTTAAAGGTACAGATTTTTCTCTGTTGTCATAAGTATACCTGGAACAAAAGCACTGTTGACTCCAAGTAGTTTCACTAATGAAAAGGAATCAGCAGAATGACTCATGTAAGTTGGAGGAGACACTGTTTTCTTTAGAATGCTTTGGTTCTTGCATTTTGGGACAGGTGTGGCTGCTGTTGAACCAGCAGAGTCATCCTAGGCACATCTGACATGTAAGGAACCTGAGCATTGCTCAGGGGCCCCCGCCTTCCGACTAATGGATGTAGGATCCATCATACATCAGGTTGCCCCTCACCAATACAAACTCTGATACAGAAATGCACTTGGTATATTTGCTTTTTCTTTCTGGTTTAGGGCAGAAATAATATTTTGGCTTAGAGACTTTTCTACTGAACTATGACATAATAGGATAAGAATATAGTGTCAAAAATAGCCTCACAAGGTCTTTTTTGACATTAAGAGTTCTGGAGGCCGGGCACGGTGGCTCAAGCCTGTAATCCCAGCACTTTGGGAGGCCGAGGCGGGTGGATCACGAGGTCGAGAGATCGAGACCATCCTGGTCAACATGGTGAAACCCCATCTCTACTAAAGGTGCAAAAAATTAGCTGGGCATGGTGGCACGTGCCTGTAATCCCAGCTACTCAGGAGGCTGAGGCAGGAGAATTGCCTGAGCCCAGGAGGCGGAGGTTGCGGTGAGCCGAGATCGCGCCATTGCACTCCAGCCTGGGTAACAAGAGCGAAACTCCGTCTCAAAAAAAAAAAAAAAAAAAGAATTCTGGAGTGAGTTTGCGGTGGATTGTTAAGAATAATTCTGTTTATTAGTGGCTGGCCATCTTTGATGAGTGCTGACTTCTCTCCTTTCAGCACAGAGTGGGAATGCCTGCCTCCTGTGACTCTGGATTGGCATGATGGGGAGGGCACACCAGCCATCCTCTTGCAGAGGTGGGGCAGGTGCTGGCACAGAGCCTTAGGTTAGGCCGAAGGGATGCAATCTCAGACCGGCAGCCAGCAGTGTTTATAAACAACAGGAGGGAGATTGTGCTGGCGATTTCCAACTCACGCCAATGAAGATCAACCGGTTTGCGCTTTGGGCAGCAGGCTGCAGATGGACAGTGCCTCCTGAGGGCATCGCCATGTTCTAGGGATCCGTGTTGCAGGATACCTGCCTGCAAGAGAGAATTAAGGAGTGTTTTCTAAGCCCCTGGAGCTCAGGCCTGGCGTTAAGTAGAGTGGGTGTTAAGTAGAGTGAATCTCCTGAAGTCCAAACTAACATATGACATTTTTAAATTAGGAAAACAAATGGCTCTGAAAAGGTCTAAAGGATTATAGATAAGTATATAATACAGAAAATGTTATAGAGGGTTCAGGAGGGTCATCCAGGGTTGGTTGCATTGAAATTGAATTACCCTGTCTTTCACTCATCTGTGGCAAAAAAAAAAGAGGAAAATTATGTCTCCCAAAGATGCTTGGAGATTTGACTGGATGTTTGTAAAGTGCTTTGATATCTTCAATAGAGTGTCCGATAAGAGCAAAGCAAACTAGTCTGAATCATCTTAAGTAGATACTAAGTGGTTCTGTGTCTTCGTTGTAAGTTGTACTTATATTTTCAAGAGAAAATTTCACGTTCTGATATTCTTTTAAGTTATCAGCTGTATGCTTGGGGTCTTTACCTGTTAACTTGAGCTCCAACATGCTTTGTAGAGGACAATTTTTCTAGCCAAGCAGTTAAATGCACCTTAAAATGCTTCTTGCCAAGGACAATGCCTTTGCAAATGTTTAAGATATTTATGCTTGGTTGTGACTTTTTACTGAACCTGTGTCTTCATAGCGACTCCTCGGGAGGTGCAGGAAGCGGAGGCAGAAAGCAAGTCCCTGCAATCAGTTCATGATAGAGAATGAAAAAGCTTTTATTTCAAGGTTCTGGTGGATAGACTTACCGATATGTGTATTCTGTGTCTATTTAATTTCACGTAGTGCTGCATCTAATCACGCTGTTTAAATAATAGGACAGAATGTCCTTTTGCTCTGCTTTTGCTTATGAAGAGCACACAAGCACTGCCACCTTGTTGCCAAAATTTGGTCTGATTTGAGTGTGCTTAAAAATCAAGTGAATGCCTGTTGGGAAAAAGCTTACTCCTTCTCTTTGTCAGTACTTGCAAAAACAACTTAAAAGAAGTTAGCATTATTGGACTGAATTCAGTAATTAGCATAATCACGATGCTATGTATTGTTCACCAGGGCACGCCCCTTGGCCACATTTCCCATTAAGAGGACACCGATGTTGTCCTAGTGAATAAATCCCGGCACACATGATGCAAATCAGCGTGTTCCTGCCTGCCGCTCGGCTGCGGTTAATTTTAGCCAGCGTTAGTTCTATGAGTTGTAAAAGTAGAAGTTAGCAAGCTGAAATGTGACTTCTCAGTCTAATGTGATAGGGTATCTATTTTAGATTTCAGATTGTGTGTATGATCAGGAGAGCAGTCTTCTGAAGAACTGTGGCTCAGTTTTCTTTGAAACTACTTGTAAGTACTGGGTGGAATTTTAAGACTTCTCTTTGTTCTTTTCTCCTTCTTAAATCTTCCTAGTGTTACTGTCATAGTAATGTTTACCTCTTGGGGAAACTGTAAGCTTTGAGGTCCGTACTTTAGAGAAAGCTAAGAAAGGTGGCAAAAGATTTTTCTTTAAATGTCTCCTACTGCAATAAATCTATCTTATTCAATTTTCCCAAGAAAAAGTTTGCGATTCTTATTTTTGCAAAAGCAATCTGTAGATTATTATTTTATGTTAAAATATTTGCTTAATGGACATGGTTTCTGTAAATACAGAAACATTGTATTGTGTCATTGAGCCTTATTTTCTACTATGGTAACCTAACTCTTGAGAAAAAAATGTTAAAAGTTAATTCCTGTTGTACTCTGTGCTACAAGTTTATGCTGTAGAAATAATGGAGTGTCAAAATAATTTTCTTGACGATATAAATGGACATTTAAAAAATTTTTTTAAGGAGAATTTTGTGCTTAAAAGATAAATCCGCATA